TATGGTCCGTGTTATATGGCGGCTGATCTCGTTCTCTGCTCGCAGCGTAATGAGCTCCTGGACCTCATTGTTTTCCTAATTTGTGGACATTTTTGACAGCTGTTCTCCCTCTTTGAGTTAGCACCTAACTGCTACTTTTTACATTTCATGCGGATGGGTCGCACGCACATCCTCGAAACGTCACACCCATGCTGCCGTGATCTGTCCTGCTAGCTGTTTCCTTCTGAAACAGAAATCGTTTTGGCTCTGTTACTACCTCGAATGCTGCCTTAAAAGCAAGACAACTCTGTCCCCCCACTCTGTGTTTGTACCTTAAAGAACGGCGAGGCAGAAGAAACAGCGTGAAATTCCCGCCTTGAAGAGTCAGTCTAAAAGGGGCTGTTCATTCTCATTCAGAAGGAGTGTTTCAAAGATAGAATATCTTTTCATGTTCAGCATTTTCCTAACATTGCCAAGTTAAAAATACCAACAGACAGCCCATTGTTGATGTTCAGCCCACGCAGATATCAGTTTCTATCTTGGTGATATGTTATTTGTATGAAAACTGTTTAATTCAGAGCAGCGTAGCAGGTGAAACAGACTTGATTTGCTTCCTGACTGCATTAAACACCATTTTGAAGATTAGTTTGAGTCTCTGGAGTTTAAGCAAGTGTGCCCCACCTAGCAAGGTCAATAGGTTCCTAATCATCTGCATTTAATTATAATTATAGTGACTTAACTTGCGCGTTGTCTTGGAAACAGAGTAACTCAATCTTAGCCGTGTGTGTGTGTGTGTGTGTGTGTGTGTACACCTGTCATCCCTGGACACACAACTCACACACCCTCCTTTATCCCCTTCTATTATGTGAATGGGTTCTCATCAGGATTACGTTTTGTTTGTAGGCACTCAGGGGCTGGCTGTGACCTACTGTTGCCATGGCGAGGAGGAGAACAAGATGATGGCCATTGCTCAAAAGTGCGGCCTGAATTTGTCTACTTTGCCATGTAAGTCCCGCCCACTTGTCTGTGAAGAGTGTAACATGAAGATTGTGTAACTTTTCCTCTCTTAAAGGTCTTGTGTGTAACGTTCAGAAAACCCTTGTTATTAGTGACATCACCTGTCACATGACCTGTTCACCCCCCTCCCCTCAGGCAGATGGTTGCGCAGCCTCAAAGCACAAACAACGAGGCTAAAGTGCAGCTTCTTCCCAGAGGCTGAGGCTTATGAACCCCCTGGCTTAAAGTCTGTCCTCTGCACTTACAGCTAGCTAATAGCTGGCTAACACTAGCTCAGGTCACAGTTAGCTTGTTGGCTGCTACTATGTTGCTCTTGACTAGCAGAAAGCGATGTTTACCGTTACATCTTTTTTTGGTTGGCTACATCAGTATTGTTTGTCATCATACATAAAGTAGTTATCATGTATCGTGATAGCTGGGGAAGTAATTTGGAAAGATCACCAAACAAATATTACACTCAGATAGTGACAGTATTTTGCCAGCAATAACGTTAGCAAACAAGCTAAGGTAGCCAGCTAGCTGTAATTAAAGATACTCTATAACAGAAGATAACCCACTACAAGCTGCGCCAATGGTACAAACTGATTTACACTTCTGGGGTTGGGGTTTATGAAAACTGAATCCAGTATTCACTTCAGCGACTATGGGGAGAACGAAACGGTAATACTCTGTACTGACGCTCACTTTTCTCCTTGGAATGAATAGACTCAGGACTGCCGCTAGTCTCCTAAAGGGATGGGGCAGTGGGGAAACCCATGTGAGACAGACACAGGCAATGAATCTAAAGTGGGCTGTCTCCGTTTATCAACAGGCTCTGCTGTAACTAAGCTACGCTGCATTAATCTGGCATTGGTTTCTTCGTAACAAGACAGTAATTTGCTACGTTAGCTAGCTTGCAATTCATCCACATTAGCAAGCAAGCAAACGGTAGCTAACGTTAGCCAGCAAAAAACAGGGGGCACTGAATTTGAGGCATTTACAGTTTATCAGACCACAAATGAGACAAGAACTAGCTAGCTAGCACAGACCCGCTGCCTCACTCCCCACCATTAGGACCCTGCTTCCCTGGGTAAGAGTGGACGGCAGCTCAGACCTTAGCGCAAACGCCTGCCCCAGGGTCACGGTGGGCAGGTGGACAGCGGCAGCAGCAAAGCTGATCCAGCCGTTACTTGGGGTGGTTGAGAGGACGATCTGGGGCCAGACCCAGTTACTCGGGAACTTGGTCTTGCTCTGGCTGAATTTGAGTTGCTACAGGGTGCTAAATGAAGGTCCTTATTTGGTGGGCTGCTGCTGAAAAATGTACGTAACTGAAACAGCATGTGTTGATTTGTAGTGGGTGCCTGTTGTTTTTGGTGTTCGAAGACTCCATTTGTTAGCTAACGTTAGCTACTGCTGCACTGTAGAAGTTACATTACAACCTGTTCATCCTGAATACGATTAATACAGGTCAAAAGTTACATGCAGAAAACACAAAGCCTTTAATTCATTGTGATTGTGGAAAAGTAATTCTGTCTTCTGTCCTCTCAGCCACCATAGAGCCTGGGTTGATGGACGAACCCTGTGACTGGGATGTCTGCACCGAGGCTCTCACTCCAGGCCCCTTACCCCAGCTGACCTCCAGGACAGACAAGAAGAAGCGTGCCAAGTCCGTCACAGATCAAGCTGTGGAGCGCACTGGTCAAAGGCAGTCAGAGAAGACCCGTCCTGCACCTGGACTGGGAGTAAACGGTGAACAGATTCCCAAAGAAATATCTCCTGCAAAGGACTCTCTCTCACAGTGTCCTCCTCGGGCAGTGCCCACTCGAAAAGAGCTGCAGGACGCTTTGCCAAAGATCCCTCCTCTCAGCTCATTCAAGAAGTGCAGGTCAAGGTTTATGACCTTTGAGGAAGCTGAGCGGGACTTCCACAGTTTTATCACTTCAGGCTTGGGAAGGTCAGTGGAGGTCATCAGGCAGTTCAGAGGTGGAGAGGACGGTGGCCCCAGTGATCAGAATGGAACAGGAGAGTCTTTCATACTTAATGATGATGGAGCTCAGAATTTAAAACGAAACCGGTGGACATCTTCACACCCAAGGTCAGCGTCCAGTTCTTCAGGCTCACAATCGGAAGCGGAGGACAAGACAGATCAGACTAGAGGAAATAAATACAGAGCAATCACTAAGCCTCAGACTGAAGCTAGAGAAACATCAACCGTGTCCAAACCACAGGCGGAGAGCACGAGATCCAAAGCTTGTGCTCCTTCCGCACCCAAAATGCATCACCAGGCAGCCCGCGCATCAAGTGGGAAAGCTCCGTCTCGGCCGGAGAACTCTGAATCCATACCAGTCGTTAAATCGAGTGGGCATCCCAGTCAGACGGCTTCAGCACAGACTGGCAGAAATGAATCTAGAAAGATGAAAGGAAAGACTGGGAAACGGAGCAAAGAGATTTCCGAGAAGATAAACAGAGAGCACAAGAGAGAACACGATGTTGAGGAAGAAGAAGAAGAAGAGGAGGAGGAGGAGGAGGAGGAGGAGGAAGAGGAGGAAGAGGAGGAAGAGTGGAGTGCCGACACTTACTGGAGAGCCAGCTACAGAGCCTGGAACGATTACTACGCTTCCATGTCTCCTTTTCAAGAGCAAGGTTACCAGAGCTACTACAGTATAGCCCACAGCTGGATGGCAGCTTATCGTATGAATGCTGTCTACGTGGAAGAACTCCTTAAACACTGACACTGTTGGAAAATCTCTGAATGCCCCCCCCCCCGAGAAATGAATTCAAATGTTTGCACTTCTGATTTATTTTTTTCTCAATGAATTAATACCTTAAACTGTATATTACTTTTCTAATAAATCATCAGAATGGAGCATGTATTTCAAAGCCCTCTTCTGTTATACGTCTGTAGGATTTAGGGGGATATAATGGCACAAATATGTATTTTCTTTAGTGTATAATCACCTGAAAGTAAGAATTGTTGGGTTTTTATTACCTCAGAATGAGCTGTTGATAACTATATAGGGAGAGCAGATCCTCGTCCATGTTTTACCACCATGTTTCCACAGTAGCCCAAAACAAACAAACACTGGCTCTAGATAGGGCCACTGAAGAAGTTCCAGCTGGTCGCAATCTGCATTCTTCACTGCTAGACGCCACTAAATCCCCCAAACTGCTCCTCTCATACACTCACTAGCCACTTTATTAGGTACACCTTGCTAGTTCCAGGTTGGACCCCTTTTGTCTTCAAAACTGTCTTAATTCTTCGTGGCATAGGTTCAACAAGGTGCTGGATACATTCCTCAGATATTTTGGTCCGTATTGACATGATGACATCACACAGTTGCTGCAGATTTGTCGAATCTCCCGTTCCACCACACCCCAAAGGTGCTCTATTGGATTGAGATCTGGTGACTGTGGAGGCCATTGGAGTTCAGTGAACTCATTGTCATGTTCAAGAAACCAGTTTGAGATGATTTGAGCTTTGTGACATGGTGCGTTATCCTGCTGGAAGTAGCCATCAGAAGATGGGTACACTGTGGTCATAAAGGGATGGACACGGTCAGCAACAATACTCAGGTAGGCTGTGGTGTTTAAACCATGCTCAGTTGGTACTAAGGGGCCCAAAGTGTGCCAAGAAAATATCCCCCACACCATTACACCACCATCAGCAGCCTGAACTGTTGATACAAGGCAGGATGGATCCATGCTTTCATGTTGTTTACATCAAATTCTGACCCTACCATCTGAATGTGGCAGCAGAAATCCAGACTCATCAGACCAGGCAATGTTTTTCCAATCTTCTTTTGTCCAGTTTTGGTGAGCCTGTGTGAACTGTAGCCTCAGTCTCCTGTTGTTAGCTGACAGGAGTGGCACCTGGTGTGGTCTTCTGCTGCTGTAGCCCATCTGCTTCAAGGTTGGACGTGTTGTTGGTTCAGAGATGGTCTTCTGCAGACCTTGGTTGTCACTGTTGTTAATGAGCAGTTAAACAGGTGTACCTAATAAAGTGGCCAGTGAGTGTATATAGTGTGATGTCTCTATGTTTGAACTTTAGAGTGTACAAAGCATTCACATCACAAGCCATTCATCAAGAGGGAGGTGAAGCCCGGCGCAAAATTGCAGTTTACTATATGTAATCTCTTCAGCAGGACATGGCAAGGTCAGACTACTCCACATGCTCCTGATTACAGGCTAATCAACCTGCGGCCATTCAACTAATCAGTGCTGAGCAAAACAAAAGCCAAACACCCCTGAATAAATTGCTTTTAAATTTTTTACCATCTGTAGCGTTTATGCCACCGATTGAAATCATTACGCAGCGCTGAATGGCTCCACTCTGAGCGCAGCACTGTGGACTGCGTGTGGACTGGAACAAGGAGACAGGTTTGTCCAGCATGAGCCAAAAAGGTCTCTTTCCAAACATACTTCATGAGCAGACGCACAAACCGGAGGTGACATTATGAACATGCACACTTTCTGGAACGAAACAAACGCGCACAATGAGACTCACATGGACACTGTGTTTTTAATATTCAACTGCACAGTCTTGACTTTATCATTAGTTTTGGGTTTACCCGGAAACTTGTGGGTTTGCTGGGTCGTTTTCAGGACCAAGAGCTTGCAGACTTTTAATAACGCGCTGCTGGTCAGCTTGGCCGCCAGTGACCTCCTGAAGTGCTCTGTGGACATACCGCTGCTGCTCTTCTCTTTCCTGCGTTACGGGAAGGACAGCCAGGTGTCGGTGTCCGTGTGCACCCTGCAGCAGTTCACCTATGCTCTATGCAGCTGTGTCCAGCTGCTCACTCTGGTCAGCATTAGCGTGGAGCGGTTCCAAGCTATCGCGTTTCCTTTCCAAACCGAGAGGAGGAAAGCCAGGGTCCGTCTCTGGATCCTGTCCATCTGGGCATGCGGCCTCATTTTGGCTGTAATCTCTCTGACTCTTTCCAGAAAGGCGCTTTTTTACATGCTCTGCCGTCCGCACCTCGGGGGTCATGGCGACGATCGTCTGCAATATTCGGATCCATTCGGACCCTACGTGCTGGTCCCGGTCTGGGGATTGTCTCTGACTGTGATCGTCATCCACTACGTGCGCATTTTCAAAGTTGTAAGACAGCACCGGAAGAAAGTGTTCAGCCGGGGAGTCCAGCTGAGGCCGACCGTGACGGAACATGTGTACGGCTGGCTGAGTGTGCCTGCTTCAGCACCACGGACAGCTCCGCCCGGCTCCCTCAGCCCGCTGCCTCCCCGCCGGACGGTGCTCCTTGTGGCCGAGGCCAGTGCCCCCTTTGCGTGCTCCTCCAGAGGGGGCGCCCCGGGGAGACCTCCGGAGATTGTGGGGGCAGTGTGTCTGCTGACACCTGGGGCCAGGGAGCGGGGCAAGAAACGGATGGAGGGCAGGCTGGCCCAGCGTTTTGGGTACATAATCATTGCGTTCACACTCTCCTGGGTGCCCATGGTGGTTATTTTGCTGATAAACGTCATCTCGTGGCAAGACACGGACAAAGTGAGTGTAGCTTTTTGCATTACTACAATTGTCAATTCAATGCTGACACATGTGAAAACAGATACCCTGCACAATATAGTACAATCCAATTTGACATGCATGCATTAAATGAGGTTTCTAATAGATGTTATCCTACAAAATATTAGACACAAACTATTTTGCATGGCTATTGCATTGCATAGCACACATTTATAGTATATTCTAAACCCAACAGCATAGTGCAATAACGCAATAACACATCATAGTAATAGCTGATTAATCAATTAGTCATTAACAGTTTGAACAATTGTAATCTATCATGAATAAATGGATAATGGCAAACTGAATCTGTTTTGCTTTTTGACTGTTGGACAAGCAGTACAAACATCACCTTTGTATCTGACTTTTCACTGTTTTCTACCATTTTATACTAAATGATTAATCAATAATTTAAAAAGAAATATTAAATTAAACAAAGAATAATCTACAGATTTATTATTAATGGTTATAATAATTAATTTGGGCCCTGTAGCTGCTGTGCAGACATTTTGGGCTATCCTAAGCTCTGTCTTGTTTCTCCCCACAGCTGCTGATGGAGCTGGAGACATCAGCTATGGTGCTGACCTGCGTGCAGGCTGCAGTGGATCCCCTCATCTTTACTTTAGTTACCAGACAGTTCCACTCTGAGCTAAGCAAGGTCCTCTCCTCCATCCCATGGTGTCCCCTAAAACGGAGGGTCTGAAGGTTAAGTACTTTATAAACATTTGGGGTCACACGGACCGCACTTGGGGGAATTGAAAAACACCAACGAAGCTAAATACACACAAGCTGCTGCCTTGTGTTTCCACACACACACACACACAGAGGCGGGTGAAGAAGAGAGCCCACAGATTTTGGTATTTGTGGCAGATATAGATGTTTTATCAGGCGTTTCACAGTCGGGACACAAGACAAGGTCATAAATAATATCCAACACCTGACAAGATACGCACAGCAGTAGTCTCAACAACGACAGGTGGCATAGGAGGGCAAAGCAAAGAGTGAGAGGAAGGAACTGACTGAGCCCATAAAAAAAGACAATCAAAGGAAGGTACGTAACAGAGAGAGAAAGAGAGAGAAAGAGAAAGAGAGACAAACACAATCACAGACCTCTGTTTTTGTTGTTTGTAAATAAAAAATGCAATCCTTTTGACACTTTGAGCGGAGATATGCATACATAATAATTCAAAGTGTGTCATTTGAAAGTGCGGCTGACACAAAACAACCTGTCGTGGAACAGGGAAGCGATAAAGTATAGTCACGTTTAATCACTGTCCTAGCAACAAAAAATACAGGGAACCTCACTTCTGCCGTTACCCATGTCATACCTTTGTTGTAGTCTTCAATAGATTCTAAATGTCAGACTTGATGCTGTGAATATGAAGTCAATGTCTTCAACCCCATTTTTAAAATTACACTGGAAAAGCTCTGCTTGTCTGTGCTTGTCTTTTTTTTTTAACTCCAGGTAAATCTGCGTTTACTAAACTCTAATACTGGATCTAGGCTGCTGTTGTCACTGTGTACAGTACTATATTACCAGCAATAGTGCTAAGTCTCTGCTAAGAACATCAGAGGTAAAACACACCCTGTCCCAACTCTGTAGACTTTTTTTTGGGTTGGTACTAACCTCAGGATCAGAGGGAACTAAAGCACAACAGAGGAGTCTAAGGGACCTTGGGGTCTTGTGTTGTGATGCACTGATATGGTACCAATTATGCTATATATTTCCACCCATATTGGCTGATATGATAATAATGATGTGTGTGTTTTTTTTTAATACAAATGCGTGTAAAACTGTTTTTCAGATGTCTCCATATTAAGGTAATTAAACACTTCTAAAAAGACCGTTATACATTTTTGCTGCTAGTCTGACAGTTGATAATCTACTTCTACAGAAAAAAAAAACTGTTTCACCTCAGCTACATATGGGCAGACATGATATTAGACCAATTCCAGTATTGCTTTTGAAATATGCTCTTGGCTTATATGGACAGTATGCTCATATATTAATGCTTCTCTAGCTCTGTCCGTGTGCTCTTGATCAACGTTTTATTTCATCTATGCCGAGCAGAAGTCAGTGCTCCGTCTGCTGTGACTGAAGCCTCTCTGCTCAGTGGTTTCGTCCACCTAACTGCCTGTGTAGCTGTTGGACTCAGAATGACATTCGAGATGAAAAAGGCCAACAGGGAGGTATCAACGAGGAGGTTAGCAGAGCTAAAAGGTCATCGTCCATAGTTACAAAGGTCAACGTTGATGGGATCTGATGAGAAGTAATGCTAATGTTACATGTCGGGGGGGCTGCGAGTCGAGAGAACAGACAGAATAGCGTGTGTTTTTTGGTGACAAGAGATCTGTGGATGGCTCATCCAGTGTCCTCTCTGTGGTCACCGTTACAACAGACTTCCCTGCTTTAAGTTCTCCAGAAGATAAAAGTAAATAAAATCCTTTTGAAACACCAAGGAGGACAAAAAGTACAAACATCAAGTTTCCTAACCACATAGAGTACACATACTCAACAACTTTGAAAAAATGCCCGCTGAGTTTGGGGAAGAAAAAACGTTGACAGCTATAAAGACTACTGAAAGCATACTGTTGTTCACACAGGAGGTAGGGATACAACAGGACAACAACGAGAGAGAGAGAGAGAGAGAGAGAGAGAGAGAGAGAGAGAGAGAGAGGAAGAGAGAAAGACAGACTGAGGGAGAAAGAGAGAGAACGAGAAGACAGCTTCACTGGTTCTGCCAAACGATGGTCAAATATTACAAAATATTCTATTAACAATATTCACAAAGAACCCAGGCTCAGGACAGATTCGTGTCAGAAATTCTCAGTGGACGCCTTGTGCTTTTAATAGTGGTGGTTTGAATTCAAAATGTACTTTTTTTTTGGTTTCCTTGTGAGAGAATTGAGTTATTTGAGGTCTGTCGGGCTGTGGCAGCCAAAAGGGAAAAGAACTGGAAGGCAGGGCGGGATTCAGAAAACTATAAAAACAAATAAATCTCTTTTTACTCCAGCAACAGGCACATGTCGTGTAAAAGGCTTGTAGCTGAGAATTTCGAACAGAAATGTGTACAGTGAACCCATCAGAGTGGCAGCTAGTCAAATATACCATATACTGAGCCATATAGACTTCCAGGAGAATTGAATCAACTGAGACAAACACATTCTCACACACACACACACACACACACACACACACACACACACACATACACGCACACACACAGGCACATACCTCCTATCCAAAACGTCACAATTCCTCTATCTAGCAAAAAAGTCACATACACTCATTCACAAATAAACTCATTGGTAACGCCATCACAGACACACCTACCATGTTTAATCTTTTAAAGGATTTTTTTTAAGTGGAATAATATCTGACCTGAAAAAAAAATGGTGGCGTATTTATCTATCAACAGGTGAGTAGACCAAAATGACACAAAACAAAAAAGGGTGGGGCTAAATCAGAGGGGGGAAAAAAGTTCTGATAATGTTTTCTTGTCTTTCCCCTTGAGTTCTCTTACTTTTTCTTTTTATCTCCTGCTAAAAAAAAGAAAAAGAGACGGTAAGAGTCAAACTGAAGCGAAAATCATAAAAGGTGCTTTGTGCACAGTGACACATGACTCGCTCTGGGAACTCATCTCCGACACTTGGGAGGCACACTCTCACACGCCTCCTCATCTTCAACGACTCCCCACACGTATTCCTTCACTCTTTCACCCATGCACACACTCGCAACCACTAACATGAATATGCTGGATCTAAAAGCCATCCTCTGTCTGTACAGGGAGTCCATGTCGTTACAGTACATGACCAGCAGAGGGCAGGCTCCACCACGGCCAGACTAGGACTCTGAATGCCATCTCCTCCATCATTCCCAGTGCTTCTCTGTCCCCTCAGTCTGTCTCGAAGAGTCTTTGTCTGTCTTTCTTTGCGACGCGCCTGCACTTTAGTCTTCACAGCGCGGACACCTTCACAACGTTCTGGTGGGTGGGGCCTGCAGGCAGGTGAGCATCGCCCTCGGGAGTCGTCACTGGCGGCGTGGGAATGCTGATGATTGCTGTGGTGATCTGGCTGCTCTGGCAGTTCAGGGATGCTGGCTCGTCTACACGCATGTTCAGACTGGAGCGGCTACAGGAAGGAAGGGAGGACAGAAAGTTAAGGGGTAGGGTAGTTCGTCTATGACAAAACACTTTGCTAAAAGTTCACGTCCTGAACCAGTCCTGGCTGAGGCAAAAGAAAATGAAAGCTACTGTCGAAGGTCAAGATTGCTTTTATTGTCTCCCAGAGTAGAAAACTGTCTTAGAGGTGCTCTGAACCAGAAAATATCCTGTGTACCCTTTCCACGCTTAACAAACAACCCTTAAACCACCATTACTGCGAATGGGACAACAGGTTTTATGGAGCTTAAAAAAACAAAACTCAGGTGTAATTGCGAAAGTGTTGATTACAGCGTCAAACCCACTGAGAATCAACACCTAGCTCTGCTCTCCACAGGTTTCAGCTGCTAATGAAACTGTGGTCAGCCGTTTCCTGCAAACTAACTTAAATACAACAGAGGGCCAAAGTAAACTGTGGCTGCTGGAAAACAGATACAGTCAAGCAAGCTTAAAGGGAGACTTTGCCTCTTTTCAACCAGCTCTGTATCATAACAATGTGGGTAGTATGTGTAAAGCAGCATTTCTTAAGGGGAGTTTGGTGCAATATTTCCACCAGGAGCAGTTTGGGAAATAATCTCAAAAGGGATCTAGTTGTAGTCTTGAATATAGTGACCATGCACATTGTCTATATATTTGAGACGGTATCAGACTTTAAAGTCTTTTCAAAGTTCTCTAGTGTATGGTAGGCCTAGATTAGCACCTCGTTGTCAGTTGTCATTAGATTTATAACGAGGCATTAGCTCTCTGGTTAGAGGTTTCTAAGATGTTGCACTGCTAGCACAGAGGGTGCAAGCCAAAACATGACTTACTTGTTTTATTAAAAGCATGGAAAACGGATCGGTAACATTAGATGATCATGATCATTGGCTTCAGAATACAAACTCTTTTTTAACAAACACATCATATTCCGATTCCAAAATATCCCCAATTGGCAGGTTGTGGTAAAGTAAACAACGTCCGAGAAACCAGGTGTTACGTCATACATCACTTCAGTTGAAGGATATTAGTCCTGAGCTCACCTGGTGCTGAGGGGCTGGATGTGGATGGTGCTGAGCTCCTGCAAGCCTTGTTGGTGTGTGTGCGTGTGTGTCAAAGGCTGCATGTGTGCTGCGGCACTGGCATTGGGTAAAGGGGTGTGGTGCTTCTTGCTTCGGCGGGTGCAGCACGTGCCCGTCACGCCGTCCTGGCTGGAGAGGGAGGGGCTTCGAGACGGGTAATTCTGCAGCCCCGCCTCCAGGTAGCTCTGCTGGTAATACTGCTCGTCCACAAACTCATGGTTCTGCAAACAACGACGGGAGAAGGAGAGAGAGAGAGTCATAAAAAAGATGTGACATTTACAACATTCATATTTACGACCATGTTCCGTATATGGCTTGATACAGCCCGTCATTCTCTGCTTCTGGGTCGATAACTCCTCTGAGAATGTGTCATTATATTTCATGTGGGCGTGTGTGTGGCTGTGTGTGCGAGACACACACACATGGAAAATATAATGTTGGAGATTACCTCCAAATCAATTTTCCGTAGTCAGTTCCTTAAAGCGGCTACTTTTATATTAACTGTGGATCATGTGACTACTCGTATGTGGAAGTGGACACTAGAAGCAATGAACCCATGAAGAATGATTGATTATTGACACAAGCATGAATCCAAGTGAGTTTATGTTGCTCCTCAGCTGCATCTGTAAATAGGCATCTGTTTGCTAACATATTCCCCACATCAAATTGACAATGTGAATCCATCAGCACACCTTAAATTTCACTGTGACAGCTTTGACTATTACTTTAGTTTTTATATGACATACACTTCGGCATCGGTTTAGATGTGACTGGTACTTCGCCCTACAGTGCATGCTAGATTTTTTCGATTGCCACACTTGAAACAGACAGTGCATCTGCATCACACACAGGCAGACAGGCACGTATCATAAGATGAATGCAGTGTGCTGGACATCATGCTTCAGTGGGCTGCACTCGCCCATCCATATACAAATACTGTACATCTGTCCACATTAAGCCTGTCAGTCACTTGTGTTCACCTAATGAGCCACAGCTAGCCAGAAAAGCATGGATGACTGCATTAACTGGAGTCTATCTGATATAGATTACAGTAATTAATAATATTAATTAAGTACAATGATTTAAAATCTGCTCAATTTAACTCTGATTTCTGGAAAAGCAAAGGTTGTGAACATTGTTAGGACTTAGCGGCATTCTTCTCCCATGTGCCAAGTGTGCACTCCCTCTTAGCATTCCTTTAGTGAGCATTGTTCAGGAGGTTTTTACCAGTAGCCGAAATATCTGCAGAGGTCTCTTCATCTCCAAAACAAATGGAACACGTGATTAAAACCTTGAATAAAGCAGTTTCACGTTACAAATCTGTGTGTCTCCAATGCAGTTCAGCTCGTCTCAGTGCTCACTTTTTATTTCTCTGATAACTTGAGTTTAAGATCTTCAGGAGGTTTTTTTTTTGCGGGAGCCAAATTATCCGCAGAGGTCCAAAACAAATGGACCTGGTGATTTTAAACCGGTAAAAACAGTGAATAATAATGTTAAAAATCTGTGTTTTTCCGACACCGTTCAGCTCGTAATGAAGGGGCTGCTGTGAAACTGCAAAAACGCGAATGGCTTTTTCTACAGCCAGTGTGTGGTTCGTCCGTTCTGTACACACATGTCGGTGCAACATTGTGGACTACGTGGACGAGGACCCTATGGAGATATAAACGGCTCATTCTAAGGCAATGAAAACACAGATTCTTATTTTCAGGTGATTATAAACTAAAGAAAACAGACGTATTATATTATATTCCATCCTCAAAATCCTACAAACTAGACCTTTAATAGAGATATTATTGTGATATTATTAGCATACAAAGGCTAAATGTGTGTGTGTATGCACTCACAGTGGTTTTCTCCAGACAGTGCAGCAGGTGGTGGTGCTGGCTCTCTAGTAGAGAGGTGGACTTGCTTAACCGCTGCTCCTCCTCAGTAGAACTCTGTAACACACACACATTCACATGTACACACACACACACAAAATGAGTGCTATGCTCCTTTTTTCCTTTTTTTTTTGTCTTTCAAGGAAGACACTGATCAGATGTGGGAGGTGCACGGCCGGCTGCTGTCTCAGTACCTGATCTGAAAGGTTCATCTTGTACGGAAGTTGCTTCAGTCGGAGAAGGAGACAAAAGGAGAACAGACAGGCAGAGTTTTACTAGTGGTCACAGTTCAGCACGGAGAACAGACAGCGGTCAGGGCCGCAGTCAGACACAGGGAGCGCTACTACACTGACCCTGAGAGGCATGTCTGCTAACATCAGTGGAGCCAGCGCATTGATCTGTGCGGGAAGGGAGACTTATAGCACAACTCGCTCCTAATGGATATACAGTATATGATTAATATAAAAAATTCCATTGTGACATTTCGCCTCCATCTCTGTTATTGCAAAGGCTGGCTACAGGCAACTCAGTAATGACTTGTTTTCCATATTTTCTGTGCTGCGGCCTGTTTATGTGTTTGTTTGTGTGTGTACAAGTGGGCGCTATTTCTAGTTCTGTGGTGGATTGGATACGGATCTCATTTCTGGGCAGCGGTGAGGTGAGTCAGAGAATAAGTGGACTGCTGGGGGAGCCTCGCGGATCCACTAAGAAAGTAAAGAAACCAGCAAGAGCAACAGAAACAACATTTGATTGTAAATATTCAGCAGTTCATTTGCTTATATTTGTCAGTGCAGTGTGTTTGTGTTGCTTTATTATTAGTCCAATAAATCATTCGGCTGTCAGGTCTTGAGGAACTCTTGCTCTGTGCAGCAAGAAAGATCACATTCAGAAACACAGACCTTTATATAATATTATAAAGCTTAAAACATTGTTATCTGCTTTATGCACGCACTGTTTCTCAAGTAATATTTGCAACAAATGCCCATTTAATTAATATCTAGCAAACAGGATTTGAGCTTTATTATTCTTACATATCTAACATCTCAGAAGGGTTTTGGGAAGAGCTATGGCACAAAAGTCACTGATTATTCTGTATTATCGTAATAGATATTGGCCATAATAGCCTTATCTCGAGCCTGGGAAGATACCTCTTCAGTATATTGCAGACTGCAATCATTATTCGTGTCGGAAGTAAAGCAGTGTTTCACATATACAGACTTTCAATGGGTTGCATCAGTCTTCCCCAGCAGAACCTGCAGTTGAGCTGTTTATAAAAAACAAATCCAAAAAATACTGCCCTGATCCTGCATGCTCCACAGCACCGCCGTAAGGCAAGTAAAATGCCATGTTTGGAAGATTTGTAGTAGCAATTTTCTGTTTGTTAAGTGGGGCGGCTGATGTTGTAAGCAGAAGCTTCTTTGCTGAGAGGGTACATTCCTGCACTGATGACTCGGTCTGCCCTCGCCAAGACCGCTCACCTGTGTTCACGCTGCTTATCTGTACCTAACACAGCAGTAAAACACAGGTGTTAAGAACGGAGTTATTTCTGTCCGTCTCTATACATGCGACCACAAGCCCGTATCAGCAGTCTGTCTGGGGGCGGCTGTGGCTCACCACCCAGGTGGCCACCATACTGTAGGGACTGGAAACAGCTTGATCTGCCGAGCGACAAAACACACTGTGTCGCCCTGCATGGTGCTGTACATGTTGTTGGTAAATAGCTGCCTTTGAATGACACTTAAGTTGGACAACAATTAATATTTTATTGAGCAGGCATAAATCTTTAAATAAGCTGTTAACCACTGACTTTGGACAGAAGCAGCCAGTCTGGTGGTCCCAACCGGCACTGACACTCCGGTCCAAACTGACAAAATTAATGTGACACAAACAAGACACATTACAAGTTAAACAAATGACTGCATCAATGCAAAAAAAGAAAGAAGCAAAAAGTCATGAAATATTTTTAATGATGCACTCAATTACTTTTGAGCTGCACAACATGGAAAAGATAAAGTTCTGTCATTGTGGATTACATAATAGAGACAGTAATTGGTGTCACCATGAGCGGATCATGAGGCAATAGGCCACTGAGCATGTAAAAGGCTCCACCACCTCTCTTACACAGGTCTGGAAATACAAACAAAGGCTTTGTGGCGATTTGGCTCTTTTTTGTTGGTGTCATTTTGTGTCTTTTTTTAGTCATTTTACCCCTTTTTGTTGTTATTTGTGTCTCTTTGTTGTCTTTTTTGTTGTTGTTTTGTGTCTCTTTGACATAATATTGTGTCTTTGTGTGTTCTTCAAGTAATTTTGTGTCTCTTTGGGTCAAATTGTGTCTTTTTGTTGTCATTTTGTATCTTATTTAGTTGTTTTGTGTCTCCCTGTAGTCATTTTGTGTCTTTTTTGGTCATTTTGTCCCTTTTTGTAGTCATTTGTGTCTCTTTGTTGTCTTTTTTTGTTGTTGTTTTGAGTCTCCTTGAAGTTACATTGTGTCTTTGTGCATTCTTCAAGTGACATTGTGTCTCCTTTGGTCAATTTGTGTCTCTTTGCAGTCATTTTGTGTGTGTGTGGTTTTTTTTTGTGGTCATTTTACCCCTTTTTGTTGTTATTTGTGTCTCTTTGTTGTCTTCTTTGTTGTTGTTTTGTGTCTCTTTGACGTAATATTGTGTCTTTGTGTGTTCTTCAAGTAATTTTGTGTCTCTTTGGGTCAATTTGTGTTTCCTTGTAGTCATTCTGTGTATTTTTTTGGTCATTTTGTCCCTTTTTGTAGTTATTTGTGTGTCTTTGTTGTCTTTTCGTGTTGTTGTTGCATGTCTCTTTGAAGTAATATTGTGTCTTTGTGTGTTCTTTAAGTAATCTTGTGTCTTTTTTGGTCAATTTGTGTCTTCTTGAAGTCATTTTGTGTCTTGTGTGTTTTTTTGTGGGTTTTGTTCATTTTGCCCCTTTTGGTAGTTATTTTGTGTCTTTGAGATCATTTTGTGTCTTTTTATTGTTGTTTTGTGTCTCTTTGAAGTAATACTGCATTTTTGTGTGTTCTTCAAGTACTGTTGTGTCTCTTTTGGTCAATGTGTGTCTTCTTGTAGTCATTTTGTGTCTTTTTTGGTTGTTTTGCCCCTTTTTGTAGTTATTTTGTGTCTCTCTGAGATCATTTTGTGTCTTTTCTTGTTGTTCTGTGTCTCTTTGTAGTTGTTTTGCCCCTTTTTGTAGTTATTTTGTGTCTCTTTGCAGTTACTTTGCATCTCTTTGTAGCCTGTTTGTGTCTCTTCCTGGCCAGTGATGTTTTGCAAGAGAAGGCCAGGAGGGCCCCTGACAGTCTGGGCCCCTTGGCCTGTGCCCTGGCAGACCTGTTCAGTAATTCATCCACGCTTTGTTTGTTAGTTAAGTGGTGAAATTACTACAAAAGAGCACACTGAGCAGGGACATATATAGCTCTTTAAACTAATAATGTCCCTAAGTTCCAACATTATTATTTATTTAACTATCAGACTGGGAGTCCTGATGAAGCAGTTTGCAATTTACATTGTATTGATAAACCAAATCCTAATAGGAATGGAGTCCTTGAAACAGATCTGATTGTGATAAATAAAACCAACAGCAAAAGGAGTGTCCTTGTTTATATAACACTTTTGCAAACAGTAACTCCTCATCAGTGTCAAGAGTCTCAACAGTTTCTCTTAACACTGTTGTGCTGAGACGTAATCTCCATCCTCAAAAAACATTCAGTAAAGCAACTTAAACATTCAGTATATACTCTGCAGGCAAGCTTTACTCATGACCCTTTGCTTGCAATTAAGATAAATGGAAACATAATAACATAATAAAAACGACACTGCAGCCTTTGCAGCATATCGTCTCTTAAGGCAATATCAATATGAATCCAATGCATTATTCAGGCCTGGCTTGAGTATAAGTACTGGTGCTATTTAGATTCTGTCCTAACCATTGCTACTGAAGAGAGAGAGAGAGAGAGAGCTATAGAGACACTTAAAGGGAGCGAGAGGAAGAAGCACTTGTTTTTGTTTTTGCACTGTGTCAGCCCCGGGCCACTATAGTGCTTGTGAACCGCAACATTTTGGTGAGGCAAGGAACATCCTTGAGTTGTGTTTACATTTCCCGCTGCATTGCCTCAAGCATGTTCCTCAGCTGGGCAGCTGGGCTCAGAGATGCTCACATTAGAAGCCTATCGAATGAGATCACCGTTAGCTGCTCTGATGGGACGCCGGGTCCACTCTAACAATTGATAATTAAAGGAGGGACAGTGACTTAGTTGTTGCTCTGAAATCCTCAGAAACGTTCTTCCAGGGAGACACAGAGGTCAGGCTTTTTGAATCGGCAGTTAAAAAATGCAAATATGTGAGGAAAACACTGATGAGACACAGGTGAGGCATTGTGGAGTGCGTGGATCAGAGGCTGGTCTTACCGTGAACTCCAGAGCTTCGTTGAACAGGCCGTTGCGCTTGCTGTGGAGGAAGGCATTGGAGCTTCCCGTCTTGGATATTCGTATCCTGGCCAAGCGGGCTTTCTGCAAAGACCACAGAAACCACCTGTTAGTCAGCGCCTATACCGCATCCCATGTCAGAATGATTGGGTATCACCTGACACATCCCACTGATTTCAGCTCCAGCACATTCACATGCTTAGTTGTGATCTTATAGATTAAGTCAAACATGTGTTGCTAAAGCATTCGCTCTGATCTCCTGTGATAAATTTGCTCTGATCTCTTGTGATACTTATGAATGATTTATGGTGACTACACGATAACACATTCCTTGGGTTGAAAATCAGTTAGAGAGGAAGCGAGGGCTAAATCCTGTATGACTTAAGCAGCTATGTGTCATTCTGCATGTAAAATACTGAATTCACTTCATTTGGGCTGTTCTTGGCGGTTTAGTTTCACAAAACAAATCAATGAAGTGTCCAGACACATAATTCTCTGCATCATTAGTGTCTGCTGCAATGCATCTTTAGTCATCAAACACGTTGTACAGCATGGTTAGCTCGCAGTCCAACCTCTTTTTTCTTTTTCTCTCACGCTGTCAAATCTCTCCTGTGAGGCCGTCAGCAACAGAGACGAACAAGAAGAAGAGAAGGAATATGAAGGCGAACACATACACCCTGGTCCTTGGAGTGAATTCTTTATGCATTACATGCTTTGACACAGCGGAAGGACTCCAACATCCCGGTTTCTACTCTACCCGAAGCGCACTGTGTCTACTGAAAGCTGTGAAAAGCATCTCTGAGTGCATGTTCGCTTGTGTACACGGGCCTGTGTGAAAATGTGGGTCTCAATAAATCTCTCAGTTACCAGAACAACTGCTTTTGCAGGATAGTGTAATCTGAGTCACTCACTTCTCAAAGGCCCGCCATTTTCCCGTCAAAGTCAAGAGCCGGGTGTCAGGCTCGCTGCAGCTACAAAGTGCGTGTGTGTTTCTGTTGCTTCGCTTTCCGCATTTTAAAATAGAATGACGGATTCATTGAGGGGAAATTGGTGGAGGGATAATGTGAGCTGTGTAAATGATGAGCAGAGAGCTCGTTTAGTAGGGGGCCCATGGACTGCTGGGGGGTTAATTGAGTGTGTGGATGTGTGTTTGCATATCTCCATGTGGGTTATGCATGCACGCCTCGTCTTCATAGCTGAATTTCCATACACATACACACAAGACATACAGAGTACCTGCAGAAGTACCTGGCTCAGTAAGGGTATGGTAATGTATGGTAATTTGAGCTCATCCCCTCGCTTGAGTTTCATTTAAAACATGGTAATGTGTGTTGACCTGCAGGTAGCTCATGCTGTGATTTAGTAATCTGAAGAGAGACAACGATAAACAGAGGCGCATGTGAACACACACATGCGCAGCAGCCAATCTAAACTGTAACATGTATAGCACAAACCCCCTTCTATTTGTTTACCTTCTCCTGTTCACCTGCATCTTGTTGTCTCTTTCACCTCCCTGCAGCTCTCCTTGGCAAGTTTGCCTCGCCGTCTTTGTGCCCTCACACTCTAACACCTATGTACATTTGTGCTAGCACAGCATTCCCACAGGCCTTTGGGATAACCCCTATGTTCTGGCATTGTGCTCAGCCAATGGGATTGTTTCTCAGGGGTCACAACGCAAACAGCGGCTCCTGACTGTGGCGATGGTTGCCAGGCAGCGCAGGGGTAATGAAGGGGATCTTAAGAACATGTCCCGCGAGATTGAATCTACTTCTGCGGTTCTCTGATAGATTCCCGGGGCCTTTGGGATCTGGGCGCTTGTGTCTAAGGCCCATCTGTGCTTTCAGGCAGAACCACAGCACGACAGATTGAGCTTGAATTGCTGCTGAAGCATCATCGAGAGCACAGAGGAGTGCAAGAAGAACCACGGACACGGGACTTTCATTAACACCTATACGTACACAGAACAGCATGTGGAAGGTTAATGTTACATGGCGAAAAAGTGCATCTGCTGCACATTCCTTGACACAGAGACACATGCAGTCACATTAACACCATGTATACGGACACAGAGTTCTGTTATAGGAGAGTGGAACAGTTTTTTCCCTCACATAATATACTTTGGGTCACAGGTTCACAGAAAGCTGCTATAAAGCGGATGATGCAGCATGAGGTGTTTGATACATTAAATATACTTTCCATGCAAAATGTGTCCATTAAAATACTGTATATTCCAATATCATGATCCCGGTCACCATTTTTAAACAAATGACTGTCTCCTTGATATATGGAGGATGTTTTTAAAGGGACAGTTCACCCCAAATCCAAAAATACACATTTCTCCTTTTACCTATAGTACTGTTTATCAGTCTAGATTGTTTTGGTGTGAGTTGCACAGTGTTGGACATATCAGCCACAGACATGTTTGCCTTCTCTCAAATTTAATGGAACTAGATGGCACTCGGCTTGTGGTGCTCAAAGCACCAAAAAATACATTAAAAAACTCAACAGAAAAGTCTCTTTCCAGAAATCATGACCCTGTTACTCAAGATAATCCACAGACCTTGTTGTGAGCAGTTTTATGTAGGAACTATTTTCTTTCGACTGAACTACACCGGCCAACCGTATCACCACTCAGATGGATGTGTGCACTTACTCATGGTGACAGCGTGAGATGTAAACACTAATGGTGTCGTCCTTGGCTGAGCTGTAACATTAGGTAGCTCAGTGGTGCTAGGTGAGCTAGCAGTGGGTGAATGCTTCCTTCTGCTCAGTGATACGGTTGGTAAGAAAATAGTTCCTACATGAAACTGCTCACAACAAGGTCTGTGGATTATCTTGAGTAACTGGGTCATGATTTCTGGAAAGAGACTTTGCTGTTGAGTTTTTCACATGTAAGTTTTGGGCGCTTTGAGCACCACAAGCTGAGCACCATTAAGTTCCATTATATTTGCAAGAAGGCAGACATCTCTACGGCTGGTACCTCCAACACTCTGCAACTCACACCAAAACAATCTAGACTGATAAATAGCACTACAGGTAAGAGGAGAAATATGTATTTTTGATTTTTGGGTGAGTTGTCTCTTTAAAGTCCAGCTGAAATCACATTTATCACTTTGTTTTTGTGTTGGCTGCTGTCTAGCTGTTAACCGCTGTCACCATCTGCCAATGACAGAGCGCTGAACAATGAGGCTTTGTGCAAATGATTGTTTGAAGTTCTCTATGAACAGTATTGAGACATATTAATAGAAAAATCGGGGGCACCATCATGAAAGCAAAAAATATAAAAATCTCACTAGCAGTATTTACAGAACAGATATGTGTGATGTGGCGAAAAAAAAAAAAAAACAGTTGAACTTTGAACAACAAAAACAGCAGCTTTCAAACCCCAAATACTGTGAAACCTGCCAACCAATCAGAATAGTGATATTCAGTATTACTGGTTTAAATAATCCAGATGTTTCCTCGCTCCCAAGAGCCAAAAAACTGATCCAAACACCTTTTTTTCCCTCTTTGTTTCCTCTACTTCCTGCCATGAAGCCACGATTTAGGATCAATCACACTTTAAAGATTATAGCTATAGGATGCAAGCCAGCACAAATGCTTCATTTTAACACCGTACGCTGCCAGCTGAGGAATCAAAACTGGCGTATCTTCAAATGATCAAAAACTGCTACATATCCACTTAGCTCCCATGCCGTACTCCGCTGAGCATTGCCAGGAAGTTTTGTTAGAAGTTCATTTTTTTTAGTTGAAAGTAAAAGTTAAAAAATTCATGGCACCTTGTGAGTTACAGCTTTGCAAGACTGCCTGTATAAGATTTGGCTGAGTGAAAAGTGGAGCAATCGAGCTATGAGACCAGATTAGGTTCTGCCTCGGGCCTGCCTTGGAACCATACAAGTGAAAGAGGAGACCATCTGATGAGGGATCACAAACACGCAGGCATGCACGCATGCACAAATGCGCACACACACACACACACACACACACACACACATAAATAACTGTGGAAGAGTCTGATTTTGTTGTGCAGCTGCCACTCATCTAAAGAGTTGCTTTTATACATGCTGACATTTCTGCCACGAGGACATAAGTTAGTTACTTGGTATACGATCACACACACTGATCACACACACACACACACACACACACACACACACACACACACAAGAGGACAAGAGGAGGGTCAGAGAGCAAAATATGGAAAGAAAGTTGGGGAAAAACTGACTTTTAGGAAACACATCTGGGAGCTGGTGAAGACAAGAAACTCCACGATGGCGAGAATTGATTCTAGTTGAAAATCAAGTCCTCCGACACCTCTGACCCACAGATATAGACCTCTGCGGCAAAGACAGCTTAACCTTGGACTAACACCACTCAGGGACAAAATACCTTTGCTAAGCCTGGATTACCTCCTCTTTGTCGAGAAAAGCACAGCTCTGCTCTGCAAGCTGCTGTAATGTTTAGGATGTTTTTTTGTTTTTTTTTAAACCAAGGACATAATTCATAGCAGAACCCTTGACCCCCCTCAGCGAGGTCCCCTGTCAACATCCCTCCAACTCTCTTTTCGGTCTGCCTTCTTCCAAAGTGCAGACGATTTTATTGATCGTCTAGAAGGGCAAAACACTCTCAGCCAGAAGTCATCTCCACCTTTTGACTTCAACCTTCTGAGGGAGGGCTAAAAACAATAGTGAGATGATTTAGAGCAAAGGGAGTGAGACTGAGAGGGAGGGAGGGAGGGAAGAGGAGTTGTTTTTTGTTTTGATTTGTTTCTGCCATGTCAGCCCCGAGCCAATGTAATGCTCAAGAACCGCAACAGACAGTAATTTTACTATTCACTAAGTCTGAGGACAACAACTGGTCCAAGCAGAGAACGATATCCAGTCAAAGTGGGGAAAAGACAAGGCCGTAAAACAGAAATTGCTAGTAAATTTTCACAGACACAAGAGCGATAATGGGAAACAAACAATGAGAGATATGTACTGTATAGATCCTGCTGCTCTACACCTGAGGCAAGATTTATGATTTACCATTGAGACGTTCTGTCAAACAAAGATCCATAACTCTACATGGTACTGCTGTGTTTG